AGGGCTGGTCGGACGCGGGCGTGGTGGTGGCGTAGACTCGGAAGTGCGCGTCCTTCTCCGTGGACAGCAGCTCCAGCCGGTACAGCCCCGAGGGGGCGCCGGCCGACACGAAGGACTCCACGTCGTTGCCTTGGTAGGACAGCAGCTCGGCCCCCGTCTCGTGCGTGGCCTGCGGCCTCTGCTGCTCCAGCGGCTCCGGCTCCTGCTCGCCTGGAAGACAGAGCAGAGGCGACTGTCAGGGCCCAGTTGCGTGGCCGCCTGCAAACCGTAGGCTCAAGACCCCCTGCGTTCCCCACCATCATAGCAATGCCTGTTGCCGGCAGAGAACTGGGAAACATGGAACAAGATTTAAAAAGCCATCCCAGTCACCCTGGCTGGTTTGGTTCCGTGGATAGAGCGTTGACCTATGAACCAGGAGGTCACAGTTCGATTCCCGGTCAGGGCACATGCCTGGGTTGCGCACTCGATCCCCAGTAGGGAACGTGCAAGAGGCAGACGATCCATGATTCTCTCTCACCATGAATGTTTCTATCTCTCTCTCTCTTTCCCTTCCTCTCTGAAATCAATACAAATATATTTTTAAAAAATCCTGAATAATAAAAACTTAATATACTAAGTGTCTGGTCGTCTGGTCTGCTGTTCAACCAATCAAAGTGTAATATGTTAATGATATGCTAAGACTGCTCAACCACTCACTATGATGTGCACTGACCACCAGGGGGCAGACGCTTCCACAGGTAGGTTAGCTTGCTGCTGGGGTCCAGCCGATTGGGACTGAGCGAGACAGGCTGGACCCCTGGAGCCGCCCTCCTGAGGTCCCTCCCTGGCTGGCCAACCTCCCATGTCCCTCCCTGGCCATGATCATGCACCAGTGGAGTCCCTCGGTCTGGCCTGCACCCTCTCGCAATCCAGGATGTCGGAGAGCCGGTTTCGGCCGATCCCACAAGCCAGGCTAAGGGACCCCAGTGGTGCATGAATTCGTGCACTGGACCTCTAGTAAAAAAAAAAAGTCATTCTGGTCAGGGCTCCTGGGCAGCCCTTTATGAAGATTTTGGGTTACTCCCTTCCAGTCTTTGCTTTTTAACATATTTTTCACCCTCATTTTTCTTTGTCACCGAGTCACCCTCTTCTTCATGCATGCATGTCTCTAGACAAACCTCCATTTTTGAATCCTGTTTTCCTCACTTAAGACTACAGCATGAGAATAAGACTGTGGTTAATTTCTGTTCTGACCGTCATAAATAGTGCTGTGAGGTGTGTGTGAGGCTGCTGTGACTTTAAATTCTTTCTCAGGAGAGACTCTGAGGAGTGGAATTTGTAGGTCACAGACCGCAGCCCTTTGAGCGAGAGCCCCTCCCGCCACCTGCATATGGACAGGACCATCCCTTCAGCCGCATCCACGGCCAGCCCCTTGCTAATCTCCCTCGGCCTGCGCTGGGCGATTCCCTAAAGCACAGAGTGGGACGCATGTGAGAGCGTGGGCCTGCCCCGCGGGGAACACGGTCGGGAGCGATGCCGGGAAAGCATCGAAAGCAAATGCTTCCCGCGTCTCGTTGTTCCTGAGTCTCAGCTGCCAGAGATCAGCATGGAGAGGAGAGCAGGGCCCTGGGGGAACTGCCTCCCAGCTCAGCCCACAGGGGGTCATGGAGGTGTAGGATTCTGTATTAAACCATGAGGTCAGCAGCCATCACACGACTATTGGTTTTCTCTCTCAGCCTCACCCCCTCATGAGCTGTCAGCGTCTCCCTGATTCCACAGCCCCGTCACTGAGTGTGGCCCTCGCGCCCGGTGCCTCGCCCCTGCCTGCAGCACCCTCCCCGCAGCATCCTCCCCACAGCACCCTCCCCACAGCACCCTCCCCCC